AAAAAAAATACTAATACATATGCAGATATGCTTGTAAAATACATAACCAAAGGTTAAGGATTTGAACTAGTTTAATACAGGAAGGCGATAAAACAGAACAGACATTATGCATCATTAATTTGATTATCCTGTATACTTAAAGGGCTACAGGGTATCTGTCAATGCTGGAAAGCCATGGATTCCTGGAACTCGGCTTCCTAATGCGTCTGACAGCCTTCCAAACAGCACTGTTGCACTTGAAACCCGACCCAAAAGCGAGCTGCCAAACTCGATCCCCTGAATGAATATTCCCCTTGGCTTCCAAGTAGGCCAACTCATACCATATGCTGCTGCTAGATGTGTTGCCAAATCGATGCAGAGTCATACGCGAGGGCTCCATGTTGGTGTCACTCAGCTCTAAGTTGCGCTGCAGCTCGTCTAGCACGGTCTTGCTTGCAGCGTGCACGCAGAAGTGCTCGAATGCTAGCTTGAAATCTGGTATGTAAGGCTTTGAACCTGAAGATGATGATGATATATTATTACCAGTGCTTGCATTGATCCTATTGCTGTTAATTTGGGTATCCTTTGGGCTTCCACCGAATAAGTAGCGTTTAACTAGAGTGCTGAAGAACAGGAGTTGCTCTGATACAGGTAGCACCAGTGGTCCTAGAGTGGTTATGTTGGTCTTGAGTGCATCGCCGCCTATCTCCATCAGCTCGCGGCTCACCTTTAGGCCTTTAAATCCTCTTTCATCTTCCTCTTGATACACACTCCTGTTAATTTTGGAATCAATTAATTAGACAGTGAAACTATACATATGAATAAAACTTAGCGGGTAGTAGTCATATTTCAAACGACTACTATAGAATTTTCAAACTATGTATACATACCTGAAGCTGCGGTCATCAGCACCCTTGTGGGTACGAACAACATGCTCAAGGCGGTACTTAGCACGAGGGAAATCACGACGACGGTTAGAGAGCAAGACAGCAGAGCAACCCATACGAAAGAAGCAGTTTGGAATAAGCATAGATCTGTCATTACCCGGGTACCAGTTAAACCCAACCATTTCAGTACTAACCACAACCGCGAAGCTGTTGGGGTTAGCCTGAAGCATGTCTCGAGCCAAGTCGACAGCAATAATGCTCGCGCTACACCCCATTCCACCGAGGTTGTAGCTCAAGACATTGCCCCTCATCTTGTAATGATTTATAATCATGGCTGAGAGAGAGGGTGTTGGGTTAAAGATGCTGCAGTTCACTACTAAGACACCAACATCCTTAGGACGAATTCGAGTCTTTTCGAAGAGCTCATCGAGGGCTCCGAATATGACTGTCGATGCTTCCTCTCGGCCTTCTTTCATGGTTGTAATGCTGTGTTTTGCTGCTATGGATTTTGGTACATACGTTTCGTCCCCGATTCCGGAAGATTCTAGGATCCTTCTTTTGAATTGTAAGTTTTCCTCATCAAATTTGCCTGATTGTCGAGACATCTCTATGAACTCTTCCTTGCTCACCTGCAGGAAATTTCATGATTGAGTTTTTGAAAATTCCAATTCATATGTTAGGCCACCTAAAAAGTTATAAATTTTGCTTTATTGTACAAAAAAAAAAAAAAAAAAAAAAAAAAAAAAAAAAAAAAAAGGATTTTACATTAACTATCCAACTATGACACAAAAGTAATTTTAGTAAAATGACATCGGCTACATGAATCAAGAATCTATTTCTCGTAATCATCAATAAAAACTTGATCTTATTTTCTACGCTTTTTATCTAATGTTTCAATAGAGTAGGGCATGTATAACACATCATAATTTATACCAATTACTCGTATATTAAAGGTCCCCATATGTAATTTCAAGGGGGGGAAAGGAATCTTGCAACAACTACACTAATTGTAGATCCATTTCTAAGTGATGTAAATATGTAATCCTATTTAACCTTTTATAAATTTCAATGAAAAATTAAATCTAATATGTTCCTAATTATAAAAGAATTAACATGCATATACTTAATTCAATGCCATATATGATTTCACAATATCAATTTTTTTTAGAGTGTTAACTTTTTTTTTTTAATACTTTATTAAGTAATCAATACTCCACACAAAAGTAAAATAGTATAGTTATTTAGTAGTGGACATAGTATAAATTCACTTTTTGAACTACTTTCAAATCAGATAAAATCTGTTTAACTTCTAAAACAACTTTTACTTTAAATCTGTCAAAAAAAAAAAAAAAAAAAATTTACTTTAAATCAAGTTAAACACGGAATACATTCGTTTACTTTAAATCATTTCCTTATCATAGAACATAAAAATCCTAGATCCGCCACTATTAATCAACAATTACACATGCACCTAAGAAAAAAAAATCCAAAAATTTAAATAAATAGATTAAAGAAAATGTACCTTGAAATCATCGCTAGGCTTGTAACAAGCAAAGTCAAGAAGGTAGATAGGACGAGGACGAGACATGAAGTACACCGAAAGAGTAAAAACAAAGACCCCAAAAGAAGCAAGAACAGTAGCAAGATCATAATCCCACAATTTCTTCCACAACTCTTCTCTACTTAAACTACCAACTTCTGCACTAAACACCAACACCAAAACTGGTATTGTTGCCAAATATATTGCATGGATTATAAGATAATGATACCCCAACTTCACATACTTCAAATTCACCGAGTTCACGAAATCCGGCAACGGCAACCTTCTCCTTACACGTACCGAAAAAGTATCCGTCCCTCGGTTCACTATCTCCGTCGACAGCAACTGCTGCTCTTCCGCTGCAGTTGCTGTCGTACTCGAAGGTGGTGCCATAATAACGCACTACAAACGAGATTCGATTTCAGATCTTAGGCTGCAATGCAACCCCAAGTGAATAAATATTTAGCTAGCTTTGGTTTGAGTTTGGTTTAAGGGTAATATTTATAAAAATGTGACAATGTGTCACATTATATATATTTGGTTGGAGTTTGATTACGTGACTAACTACAAAACTGTTTTAATTTTATTTTCCAATATTATTATTAATATTTTTTTGTTCATTTATAACAAAAATACAACTTAGTTGGGACATGGTAGGTGGAAGATGGTTAATGCTCTCACCCAACCTTATTAAGAGTGTGCAGTTGGAAGCTCAACGCTCTCTTTTGTACACTAATTTCTCTGTATTTAATGGATTTTGGTGGGTGCTTGTACTACTATACTATACTACCTCTATTTTTATTCCTTAAATGCTGGTTGAGTGTAAGAAATTAATTATGATTTATTAGGCCTACATATATTTCCGTTCACACGGGATTATTTAATTCACTTACATCAAATTAGGTTTACGCAATTGTTGATGTCAACTAATTTAATTGTTCGATCGAGTCTTGAGGGTGTCATCAGTCGTGTCACTTTAGACTTACTCGTTGGGGTTCTGATCTATATCGTCTATTTCATTGTCTTCTTGTGGATCAATGTTTCTAAAAAAAATATACAATACCTAAATTGTTTAAATTCTAATTTTATGATAAAGTCGAATCTTATCTTTTATCTCAATTTATATTTATTGATGATATAAAAGCGATGTTCTTGACGTATAGAATTGACATTATTAATAGGTTGTGAAATCCAACTTAGCACCACTAAAAATTTAAGATCATGTTTATTAGTAATATATATGAAATTGCTAAGTGAGCTTGATTATGTAGTTGCTATTATATGTTTGTTTGTAATTTATACGAAGATGTTCTAAATTGAGAATGGGATTTTCCATGCTCAAATTTGCCTTTTTGGGTTAGCTTTAATGATGTCGGTTTAGCTTTAAAAACATGTTGGTCTTTATTGTAATTGCAATGACTTGGTTTATTTGAAGGGAAGGAATATGATCCCTTCCCTGCCCTCTGCCCCAAATTATTTCCCCTTCTCTCTCACTCTCTCTTTCTTTTCATTCCCTTCTTATCTTTCTGATCTCACACTGTTATAGACTTGTTGTAATAAGATTTGCAATGATTTTTGATTTCATTCTAAAATGGCACGTTTATTGCTTATTTAAATTCAGCATATAGTAGTTTGGTAAGTTAACTTTATGCCTCTACCAAAGTTGAAATGAAAATCAAGCTCTCATTTTTTCAGTTATTTGAAGATGGAAAGCTCTAGCTACAATAGTATTCTTGAGATAGTTATACTAGAAAAGTGCATTGTTTAGAGCTTATCGTTGAGTATTTGCCTGTTCTATGTCTAAAAGGTTGGCAAAGAAACGCCAAAAGGGAAGACCAACAGTCATCATAATAAACCTTTGATAAAAGACACGTGCCATAAACTACCTTTGCATGATAATTAAGTATTCATCATGTGCATGTACCACTTACAACTCATTCTCATCTTCTTCACTTCTTTTCAATTGTATATGATCATCTTCATTTCTTCAATTATCTCATTTCTTTCTTACTTTTTTTTTTTCTCAAAATAAATAAGATATAATTAGGTAATTATAGGAGAAAATTAGTTAATAATAAAAATGGATGTTGTGAATTCATGATTGATTGTGTGGTACTACCGGCAAGCTTGGTAACTTTCACTACTAGGAAAAGGGGTTTTTACGAAGAAAATATTTGTCGTAACAAGGCTCAATAGTCGTCGCTAAAACCTTTCACGACAATACTTATTTTGTCGTGCTTTTGTCGTAATAGGTTCCGACGTTATTGGTTTTAACGACTACGTTCGTCGTTAAATTTATACGACGAAATAGTAGTTCGTCGTTACTTAATTACGACAATTTGACTTTTTGTCGTTATTTGTAGATTTAATAGCGTCGAACTATTACCAACTAACGACCAACAATTTTATAGTTAAAAATTTTTCTAACGGTAACTAAATTTTGAATTGATATCTTACAACAACAAAATATTTCGTCGTTAAAATAAATCGTACAAAATTAATAAACTATTTTGCTTTATCCCACCCGTTCTCATCTGCTAGATACTTATTATGGTAATAAGGAAAAAACACAATAAACATAAATGTACAAAACAGAAAACCAAAAGATTCATAACTTAATATTAAATTAGATTTAATGTATTTTAAACCAACTACCATCCAATATAACAAGACAAAATAGTATGTTTTAAACAAGGAATATCTAAAAAGAATTCTGATATCTTAAACTTTAAACAAAAATAAAAATAAAAATAAAAAATTTATTAGAGATCCTAGATCTTCAATGATATATTGCAGCTACTCATCATGTGCCAGATTAAGCTGATCCATCCTGTGAAGGTATAGTGACATTAAGCTGTGTCACTAACATTTCCTGAAATAATTTCATTCTAGACTCAACTGATCCAATGCGACCTTTTAATTCATTGTTTTCCTCTTGTACTTGTTCAACGCGGTTTATAAGAACTTGGTTTTGTTTTTTAGAGGCATTCAATTCAACTTGAAGTTCTTCTCTGCTAGGTTGTGGTCCTTGAATATCTTTCAGCTTTATTCCTCCTCCATAGCCTATTACTCGATCTCGAGACTTGGATTTAAATACCTTTTGTGCTACCTGCACATGTGATATAGATTTTATAATCATTAAAAGCTTAAAATATACATTAATATGAAAATATATGTTAAGAGAACAAAAATTTATGTGCTTAATATTGTATGTTACATAATTAGTTATGACTTACATCAAAAAATATATTCCTATTAATATACATAGATTTCCATCTTGAGTTTTATGAGTTACATCGTGATTCATAGGGGTTATCGTTGTTTAGATATTACCACTAATAAAATCATCATCTCTAGACATGTCACATTCGGTGAAAACACTCTTCCGTATCGAAATATTAGTCAATTACGTGCCACCGATTATTATTTTCTTAGCGTCAATGACCCATCCCCCATTTTTAATCATTTTTTAGCCATTAATCGTGCAAGACAGCTACACCGCAGGCAGGCCGCGGCACACATCTGCACACCGCAGGCAGCCTGCCAGACCACGCAGCTCCACCTCAGAAAGGCATCCCTCGCTCCTCACATACACAATCTGCATACACACCTCCACCTCAGAGAGGCATCCCTCCTAGTACACCTACAAGACCACCTCCTTTATCCCCCCCCCCCCGCCATGCAAACTCGGTCCAAACACGGTATAGTTATATCGAACCCCAAGTATGGTCAAAAAGTACTATAAAACAAACTAGGATAATCCAGATTAAAAAGAAACAAAGAAGCAAGTTTCTAATCCAAACATTACAAAAACATGGTAATTAAGGGGTAATACGCTAGCAAGTACATTAGAAGAGACAAGGTTTAAGATAAATATATATTGTCTTAACTCTCTACATTTTTGTTCTTTATTATCTACCCTATATATAGTTTCCAGCAACAATAAACTAGTTTGGGATTGCATTGTTTAAAGTTTCCAGTAACAATAAACTACTTTGATGTGTTGAAGGAAAAAAAAAGGTTTATATCATTCATGCAATTTCAGTTATTTATATAAAAAGAAGTCTCTAGCAAAAAAAATAAATTAGGCATTGATTGAAATTGAAAATTATAACACAATGATAAAAAAAAAATAGTACAAGCAAAGTTACCTCAGCGTGGGAAAGAGATGGATCTTTTTCCATTGTTTCTCGAATTTCATTCTAAAACACAACATCAAAAAATTGTTACTTGTTTACACAGGGTAATAACATTAAGCAATTAATGGACATACCAGTTTTTGTGTGGTCTCGACATTTGGAAGTTTGGTGCCTTTCTTTCGGGTCGAATAGAACACATCAACTAAAGTTGGCTCATTTCCCTTATTTGCCCCCTTTATAAGAAAGAAAATCATTATTTTGTCATTAATTTGATTAATCTATAACTTATCAAAGCTATAATATAATCAAGTAATATAAATAATAATTCTCACCAAATCGTCCCATATGACTTGTCTAAATGGCTTACTTCCAGTTCGAGGCATTAACTCTTTAGCATAGTAGCCCCTGTTTTCAGAGTTTCTTGCACTTCTTTTCTGGAATTTTTTTATCAATAAATATCTCTTAACGTAAAAAATACTAATTAAATGGAAGTAGAAAGCAATTTCTAGTTGTGTCAAATCACCTTAAAATCATCCTTAGCTTCATATATATCTCCTTGATAAGCCATTTCCACTCATTCATGTCAAGCCCATTAGGTGGCTTACCCTTGTATGCAGCTGCTAAGGTGATTTTCTTTTTAGTGACATTGTACCTTAATAAATCTGACCTCCATTTTCGCCATAGCTCCTTCATATGCTCGAGAATATGATCTTTGTAAGTTTCCATATTTTCATTGGGCAAATACATCCTACAAAAATAGATATAACATCATCACTTGTAAACATTGAATAACCTACAATTATTTTCATGAATATTGTTAAGTTAAAAAATAAAAGAGAATAATTGTTAGAAAAATTAATACGATTACCGTAACTGCTGCCCACATGTGTTCCTTTTCTCTTTCTCCAATATCATTCCATTTGTGCACTCTCACTGGACATATGTTAGTATTTCGTACTATAATTCCCAAATGTCTTGCAAATACTTTGTGATTCTTTCCCACTGCTCGATTGTTAAAGAACTCAATCTGTAGCTTCTCATTAGGTTTCAGTTTAGCTATCTCCTTACATTTGTTTCTTCCCCTCCTCTTTTCAGAATCATTCTTCTTCTTAGAAGTTGATGGATCACCACTTTCAACTGAAACAATGTAATGTAAAAAGTGTGAGAAGATAAAAATAGCAAGGAATCTGATTAATTTAATGCAATAATTAAATGTAAAATCATAACCATCAACATCTTCTTGCATTGTTGGGGATACTTCCACATCATTTTCATTATCAGCCTCATTGTTGTTTCCACCTGAATCTTGACCATGATCATTGTTATCTTCATATCCTTGTTCATAATGCATATCTTCATCTTCAGATTGATAATGAAGCCCATCATCATGAAAGTTTTGGTCACTTGCCTCAAAAGATGACTCTTGATCATCTCTGTTATTGCAATTTAAGTGGACGGGGGGGGGGGGGGGGGGGGGGGGGGGGGGGCCAAATAATGGATCAAAGGAAGTTATATTATCAACACTATTGACAACAGCAGAATTCCTAACAGTTTTAAATTGACCAAGCGGAGGTTTCCTTGACTGTAAAAGATTTCTATCAGCACTTCCTTTGTGGATAGGGGAATCATTACCAACTCTAAGGTGAAGATGAGGACTTTTGGGTGAATATATATTTGCTAACCTCTTCCCACGGCCCCTTGCTAACATTAGAGGTGGTACATACTCTCTTTTAAATCTAAGCATTGAAGTCTTTTGGGTAGGAGGAGCCATTATTTCTCTGCATAATAACAAGAAGAAAAAAAGTAGGATTAAGACAAATGAAATACACTACAGTAGGAAAAAAAAAGTAATCAACATGAATTGGAAAAAAAAAAATAGGATTAAGACAAATGAAATACACTACAATGAAAAAAAAAACAAACAAAGAAACAAACAAAATAAAAGAATGAATTCAACTACAAATTGTAAATGATAAAAAAAAGTAATATAACCTTTTTATAGCAAACGGAGTTGGATGTAAAAGTTCAACTATGAAATAAAATATGGTAGTTATGAAGAATAATAAACTAAAAAGCTTTCTAAGAGTCAATTGATAAACAAATCATTCCTCTCTCCTCCTCTTTGTAGATCTTGCTTCTCTACTACTATTTGAATTATTTTCTACAACAATAGGATCTAAATCTGCCCGCCTTTTACATACTTCAATGCTTGCACTAGTTGAGGAAGAAGCATGATATGTTGGTTTGGAATATTCACCCTGCTGATAAGCATCCCCATCAGGGTCATCACCATTGTTTTCATCGTATGAGTAGTTGCGCGGCTGAGTCTTCGATGCAATAAACCAACCTTTGTTAATGTTGTTAATGGCATAAAAAGCTTGTCTTGCTTGACTAGCTAAGATGAATGGTTCATTAGTTTTTAACTGCTTATTGCAATTAATACTAACAATCCCATATTCATCTTCTTTAAATCCTCTTACCTTATCGAACACATCCCACCATTTACAACGAAATAACATCACTCTATTCCCTCCAAGGTATTGCATCTCTATTATTTGTGTCACTACTCCATAAAAATCTATGTTTTCATCTTCATCTCCCATGTTTCCAATCACATAGACCCCACTATTTTGCGTTCTCAAATTCTGGTCACGACTTTGTATTTGAAATCTATAACCGTTCACAATGTAACCAGTAAAAGAAGTTACATATTGTGTTGGTCCACGTGACAATGAGAGGAGATTTTCCATTTCCTTGCTCTTATTATACTCATAAAATCGCGCAACCTATAAAAAAATAGTAGGAAAAATGAATAATATATGATTTTACTTATCCTAAAATCAGAAATAGTATAATTGCTTACTTCATTCTTAAACCATTGTCTAAAATTTTCACTCCATTCCTCTTCTGAGATTCCAGCATCATTATATGGATGAGCTTCAGAATACTCTCTAAAATAAGCAAAAATTAGTGACAGCCACAATTACTAAAGATTAATAGAAAAATGCATTAGGGCTAAGACTCTTATTGAAGGAAAGGTTGAACCTCCTCACAATTCTTTAAAATATAATCATGAGCTTGATTTAAATCATTCTTTGAAATATCTATAATGGTTTGAGCTCCTAAACCTCTGCCAGGATGACTGAAAATAGTCAATGCTTCACACCACCATTTGCATTTTCATAATTTCATTCAAGACGATTAAATCTTGTTTCCACACTATCCATATACCTAGAGCAAAGAGTCATGCACTCTTCTGCAAGATAACCCTCTGCAATTGAAGCCTCTGGACGAGCCCTATTTCTTACAAAAGATTTAAGCTTATATATATATTGCTCAATAGGATACATCCATCTAAACTGAATCGGACTTCCAATTCTAGCTTCATTAGCTAAATGAATAGGTAAATACATCATCACATCAAAGAAGGAAGGGGGGAAAACCTTCTCTAATTTACAAAGGGTAATAGGGATTTGGGACTCTAATCGCTTCAATTCAACTCCTCCACATTTAATACTTTAGCACATAACAAAGTAAAATACATCGACAACTCAGTAAGTGCTTCACGTACAAGTGGAGTGAGTAGACCACGTATTGCCAAAGGCAGAAGATGTTCAAGTATTACATGACAATCATGGCTCTTTAAACCCGAAATTTTAGAATCCTTTAAGTTGACACAATAAGATATATTTGATGAAAAACCATCAAGAACTTTTAATTCTTTTAAAAAGTTGCAGAAAGTTTTCTTCTCGGAGGCAGAAAATGTAAATGGAGCAGGAGGTAGTTTAAATTTGTCCCCATCTTCTATAGGGTGCAGTGTGGACCTTACCCCCATGGCTTTCAAGTCAAGACGTGATTTTAAAGTGTCTTTGGTCTTCCCATTAATGTTCATAATTGTCCCAAGAATGCTATCACATATATTTTTCTCAATATGCATCACGTCTAAATTGTGTCGCAATAGTTGTGCCTTCCAGTAAGGAAGCTTAAACAAAATGCTTTTCTTATTCCAATTATCACCTCTAAGATCGTGCTTTATTTTTTTCTTCACTTGTGGATCATTAGACAATACAATGTTTTCGAGATCCTCAAGTTGATGAAGAATTTCATCTATAGAGCAAGGTTTTGGAGGTAGACTACGCTCGACTTTCCCATCAAATGAATCCTTGTCCTTTCTCCACCTATGATTCATTGGCAAATAGCATCGATGACCCATATAACATTCTTTGCCTCCATGAGATAGCCACTCTGAACGTGTATCCTTCTGACAACAAGGGCATGCTAAATATCCCTTTGTACTCCACCCTGATAACATGGCATATGCTGGAAAATCATTTATAGTCCACATTAATGATGCACGTAGGTTAAAATGATTTTGAGCTGATGCATCAAAGGTCTCAACACCATTGTCCCATAGGTCCCTCAATTCCTCAATTAGAGGTTGCAGATATATGTCAATTGCATCACCAGGTCCTTTAGGACCAGGAATGAGCATTGATAATATCAAATTAGACTGTTTCATACACAGTTCAGGTGGTAAATTATATGGAATAAGTACCACTGGCCAAATACTATATGGTGTCTTTGAATTTGCAAAAGGCTGAAAACCATCACTAGCAAGGCCTAATCTAACATTTCGAGGATCGGAAGCAAAATTCGGAAACTCTTTGTCAAAGGATTCCCAAGCTAATCCATCAACTGGGTGTCTCATTGTACCATCTTTCTTCTTTTTACCATGATGCCATGTCATCAAAGATGCAGTCTTTGAGCACATGAACAATCGTTGGAGCCTTGGTTTTAGTGGGAAGTAACGTAGTGTCTTATGGGGTATCTTTTTACCATTTTTCTTACACTTGTCTTCCCCAATATGTTTGTTACTTTTCCATCTTGATGCACCACATATATTGCATGAGTCCAAGCTTTCATTCTCCTTCCAATATAACATGCAATCATTTACACATGCATCAATTTTCTCATAAGAAAGCCCGAGATCTTTTATGGTCTTCTTTGCTTCATAATAAGAATCTGGTAAATTTGATACTTTCGGTAAAAGTTCCTTCTTCAAGAAATCCAAAAGCATGGTAAATGACTCATTACTCCAACGGCCAAGAGTCTTGATATGAAGAAGTTTTAATAGTGCAGACATCTTAGAACTCTTACAACCTTCATAGACAGGGTCTTGTGAGTCCTTCATCAAGTTATAAAATTTTTTGGTAGCCATATTTGGCTCCTCAACATCATTAAAAATGTAGGAGGAACTACCATCGATATCATCAAGATTATTAGGATATAAATCCCTCAAGATATCGAACACCTCATTATCGTTTTCATTTTCTTCAACATCATCATCTCCGTCAGATTGAGTACGTAGGCTCATTAAACCCTTCCCCGTGATGATACCAAAAGGTATACCTCTTAACAATTCCAAAGACTAATAAATGTTGTTTAATTTTTTCACGATCACCAGATTCTCCATTAACACATTTTGAACAAGGACATCGAAATGTCTCAGTTTTCAACTTTTCAAAAGCATAATCTAAAAAACTATTTACTCCTTCTTCATATGAAGGGTCATTAACATAATCTTCAATGGACATCCAATCTTTATTAGGAGTCATATTTACCAAGTTATTAAAATTAAGGGAATAAATTAGCTATATAAAATCTGCAAATTCAACACAAGAATTCTATCAATACTAGTCATGTGACAACATTACCTTAGTACATATATACAAGATTTAAATAATGATGCATGAAAAGGAAAAAAAATTAAAAGGAATACAAACGTGCCACTACTTTAATCAAGTGTTTAAAATGAAAAAAAAAAAAAGGAAAAGTAAAAAGGATAGTAGAATAAGATAGATTGTCTAGATAAATATTAAGAGTATAATAGCATTTAGCTGTTATTGAAGTGTTATTCCTTTCATGTCCTCACTCAAAATCAATACTACTTATTTTATTATTTATTTCTTCTCTCATATCCCTTACGTTTTAATAAAATTTTAACCCGTACTATCTTTTCTTATAATTTTCTATTATTTCGACTACTCCACTTACATCTTTTTCTATTAAATTCAATTAACTTATCCTAAAATTATGTGTTGCTCAAAGTGTTTTTTTAAGTGAAAGTTAGATTTCATAAATCAATAATTATCCAATGACATTAGATGAGCCAAGTCACATAGCCTGCTATGGACATTGCTCATATGCTAGCAAAAAAATAACCTCACAGCAACAGTCCTAATAGTTTGAGATGGAAATAACAAGAATACTCATCATAATAAAGCCACATAACCACAATTTTTGAGAACTTCTAAGATATTGACGCCTTGTATACTTGATTTATAGCCACCATAATGAACACAATCACATGTTAAAGTTGACTTTTCAATAATCTTTTCACTAATCCTATTAAATAATACACTATAATCTTTCAAATATCACAGGAATCAACTAATTAAAACCAATCAAACTAAAAATCAAGAAATTAATACATACGCAAGAAACAATTAAACTTTGTATTGAGTTGACATGTGGGATTTACATATTGAACTTAACAGAGACAAACGATGATCGGCTAAACTAACGGGAAACTGATTATCTCAACAAACACCCAAAAAATACACAATAAAACTAAACAGAAAAATGAATAAATTAACAATTATATAGCATATGCAAGGAATTAAGGTCGAAATTTGACAGAGTAATTAAGAAAATTTACCCTTTAATTGACTTTCAAACTGAAATTTTGTGACGAATCGACGAACCCTAATTACTGATCAACTTCAACCCAATTCACCTACAAGCAAGAATCTGTTGATGACCCTTGAGAATTGTTTGAAGAATTGACTGAAGCCAATTACTAGAAGCAAGCAAATGAAATTTGATGATTATTGAATAAACTAACAATATTAATGGGCGGTGAGGTTTAGGGGAAGAAGAAAGGAAATAAGGTTTTAATAAATTGTGCCTTTTGTTTTTGATAGAAATATTTGATATTTTGATGATTACTTTGCCCGGGCTCTAATCCCGCGTTAGATGAATTCACTTTTCAGCGCTTGCGATAAAATATGATTTATTATTATTTTATTTATTTATCATCTACCATATTAACGACGCTTATAGAGTTATTAATTTAACCTTTTATATTTCACATTCAACCATGTACGACCACCTGCTAAGAATGTCGTAATAAAGTGACTTACTAAGGTTATTAACGACAAAAAACTCATTTTATCGTTATTACTTGTCGTTAAAACTGTTAATTCTAGTAGTGTTTAGCATTAGCATGGAAAACTTTGAGTTTTATTGATGCATGTGAATGGGCTTATGGTTTAAAATGTCATATTAATGTGTTTAGTTGATGTCAATTTTTGCTAAGAATGTAAAATTCAAGTATAATTTACATCTTAATGTGAATTTTGGTATCGGTTATGATCCCAAGCGGTCTTTTTCTCCACCCTCTGTCAATCAATCATTGTCGGAGAGTGATTTACTGTACAAATAATTCACGGCGAAACTACTAATATGAACAGAACTCTGATTGCACTTGACTTGATGACTATAAGCTGGCTACTTCTTTTGCAGAGGTTTGCATAAGGCGACTCAGAATTTCACGACATTAGTTGGCCAGGGTGCATAAGGTTATGTGTACAAAGCTCAGATGTCAACTGGTGAAATAGTTGATGTGAAGGTGCGGCAACTGATTCAAAGCAAAGGGAGCGAGAATTTGAAACAGAGGTAATGCCATATTGCCATATCAGCGCCCCGCTTATTAGCACTAATACAATCTACATCAAGGTTCATCCTTAAAGTCATTACTGAAGTTGCCTATGTGGTAGACAAGTTGTCTCTTTTTATGCTTAGTTATTGTGCTGATAGATTTGTGATCTCATCTTCTTATGATGTATGCTCTTGTTCGCAGGTTAAGTTGTTAGGAAGGTTCCATAACAGATGGCGGAAGAAGATGGCGGAAGAAAACCATAACAAGGTAGAAGAAAGCCAAAAAATAGCGGCAGAGAGCTTAAAATGTGCTAAGGAATTCGTCGAAAATCATGAGATCGAAAAAGCTACATGGAAGAAGGAAAAATTAGCTATGCAAAAAAACATTGCAGGAAATGGCATCACTTGTAAAACAAGTTTACCGTCCTTATAAGCCTCATACGCCTGCAGTCACCCGCTCTCGTGATACAACTAAGTGATTTTTATTTTCTTGGTGGTAATTTTATGAACAACTGGTCTTTTACATTGTCATTAATTCTTGTTTGAAGTAGCTTTTTTTTATATGGGAGGTGACTTTTGGAACAATTAGTCTTATAAGTTAAATATTGTTTTTTAATACATTGATACAAAATTGATTGATATTTTGGATATTTGAATAAAATTAACATTTTGGTTATTTGAATTTATGCGTGGGTACCTTTTTTGCTTTGAGATTAATATTGGTTGTCGCTTAATTATGGTCTCAAATATTGATAGTTAGTCGCAAATATTTAGCGACTGCAAATTTGGTTTAGAGACTAATTGGTTAGTTGCAAAATCATTAGTCTCAGTAGTCGCTAATCTGTCAAAAATAATTAGTTTTGTAGTCGCAAAAATTTGGTCTCGTATGTAGTTGCTAATCCGTCGCAAAAAAACATTAGTCTCAATAGTCGCAAATCCGTCACAATAAAACTAGTCTCCGTAGTCGCAAAAGTTTAGTCTCGTAGTCGCAAAAATTTGGTCTTGCAGTCGCTAATTCGTCGCAAAAGTAGTCTTAAAACATTGATCTCTGTAGTTGCTAATCCGTCGCAAATATATTACGACGGACAATAATTTAGTTGCTAAAATTTGAAAGTTAGTCGCTAAATGGTAGTTGTAAAGGCGTTGCAAATCTGTCGCTAAATTTGCGACTGTTCAAAAATTAGTCGCAAAAATGGATTTGCGACGAGGTCTTTGGCAACGAACCAAAGTAGTTGCAAATCCGTCGCAAATCCATTTTTGCGACGGATTTGCGACTACTTTGGCCGTCGCTAATTACCCTTTTTCTTGTAGTGTGCTTTTTTAATTAAAATTTCATTTATATATCTAAACTTATAAAGGGTAGGTCCTATTAGGCCTACTTCAGTTCTATTGGTAGAAATAAAATGATCGAATTGAACCGCGTCTGTCTAATGATCAGTGGCGAATCCAGGATTTCCGAAATGATTGGTCACCATCAATTATTTGACCACTTGTGAAGTACAAATTTTTTTCCCCCGAATTTAGTTCATAATTAATTTTAATCCAAAAATTATATTACAACCAATTTGATTTCAATCCAAAAATAAATAGAACACCAAAATTTATACTTCCTCCGTTCTTTTTTACTTGACCCGCTTTGACTTTTACACTATTCATCACCCTTCCTTTGACCGTCTTTTGTAAATAATATGCAATGAAAAATATATTCATTGTAAGATATTTTTGAATTCGTCTCAATAAGTACTATCATAATATGTAATTTTTACTTATAGAGAATAAAAGTTATTGATCGTTAAAGTTTTGCATTGGCAAGCGTGATAAAAGAAACGGGTCAAGTAAAAAAGAAAAGAGAAAATATATATTACAACCAAATAGTCAGTAAAAATTCCATATTACACATATTAGTATATTACAAACAAATGGTACTATTAAACTATTACATTAACTTTATGATTTTTTTTTTATTTTTTTTAACTTGAGAAGTTTTATGAAGATTTTAAAAATTGGTTGCACACATATAAAGATATAAATAGAAGCAAAAAATAAAATTAAAAAAGTAAAAAATAGACATGTTATCTACGTAGTATAATAGCAAATCTCTTTGATTGTTAGCAAATAATATGCATTAGTGTGCACACTTATAGTTCCGCCTCTGCTTATAATATACCAGAGAAACAATCAATTGTTCAAATTAGATTACGTTGTTTAAAAAGTTCGGTGACAATAGAAAAATAAATTATGATTAAACTAATTATTAGGCTCTACTTTGTTCACACCAGTTATTTCCAATTGTTTTTCAAAAAAAATGTACAGAATAGTTCAATTAAGATAAGTTAACATATATAATGGTTAATAAGGGTTATTCAAATTTAAAATTACAGCTAAAATAAGGTCTAATAATTTTAGATTAGTTCATATAATTGAAAATCAGGTGATTAAACACATTCTTAGACTTATTCGAATATGATCAAATGGTGAAAATTAAGTTGAATTAAACAAGCCTAAAACAAGCATGAAATCTCAATCACTTTAAAGTTGTTCAAGTAAAAAAATAATATGGCCTCTTAGGGCCTATTCACTTCAGCTTATTAATTTCAGTTCAATTCAATTCAGCTCAGCTCAGCTCCTAATTTCCTTCTCTCATAAAATATTATTCATTTCAGCTCTATTCAGTTCAGTTCAGTTTAGCTCAATTTATATGAACAAACTCTAAGTTAAATAATAATAATAATAATAATAATAATAATAATAATAATAATAATAATAATAATAATAATAATAATAATAATAATAATAATAATAATAAAATACTCATAATCTTTTGATTTCAATCTAGTTTGGTCTCCTTATAAATTTGATTTTGGCTTGAACTGATTTAATTATAACTAAAAATTATTTATAAGAAATCTTATATATTTCAATTTCCCCCTTTAATATGTGGGAATTGAAATGTTTTCATATATGAGTAAGGGCATATTCCGTTATGCTTAATTTCAGTCCAGTTCAATTCAATTTTGCTCCAATCACTTTAGTGCAGTTCAATTCTTTGCTCCAATCAGTTCAGTTTAGTTTCTAATTTCATTCTCTCATAAACAATTCATTTCATCTCTATTCTATTCAGTTTAATTCTGCTCCAATTAGTTCAATTCAGCTCTAATCAATTCAGTTGTTTTCAATAAATCGGAACATACCCTAATTGTTTTACACTCTCTCAATCCTTTAAAACAAAGGAATTAAGCAAGAAAGTTGAATAGAAGTACAGATAAGCTTGTGGGGTTAGAAAGAGATGAAAGAAAAAGTGGTTGGGAATTATGGAAAAGATGGAGAGAGAAAGTGTTGGGAATTAATGTTAAAAATACATAAAAGAAAAAAAAATGACAAATTATAAAAATAAAAGGTAATATTGTCAAAAAGTACACAGAAAATCTTGCGTGAACTTGGTCCGCATAATACTATTGGAGACCTAAGTTTTATATACACGTAACTGACATTATATAGAACATTAGAACTTACTGACCTCTAATTTTAACATAGTACCTTAATTTAACATATTAACATTTTCCTTAAAATTGTGTGACCTTTAATGTTATTGTGAACTTAAAATATGATGTTATGTTAATAGTGATCTAATTTTAACATAGTGATCTTTATTATTCATATTGACCATTATATTAAAATTTCATTTAAAAAAAATTAACGTCTTATAGCTTTTAATGTCACGCTAACTTTTATTTCAACTTAATAACTTTTATTTTAAACATAGTATCTTTTTTTTATTTAAAAAACAATCATATTGTCTCTAATGTTGGTGGTCCACAATAAATTAGTGTGAACCAGGTTCATTTAAGAATTTGTAAAAAGCACAACCTGAGTAGAATTAAGCTTGTAATTTTAATTATTCAAAAAGGAATACAAGTTTCTAATAAAAGGGCTAAGGGAAAAATAATGTTTAAATTTAGAAAAAAATATAGGTATTAACTGGTCCAGAAATCACCTATCAACTATCGTACAATATCGGGTAAATCATCTCATGTGTGAGATTTCCCTATACATAGTTTACATACTCATCAACATTTTGTCCTTAACTTAATCATAGGTCCAAAATATTGGTATAAAATTTATAATTTTCGGTCTTCAATCTGGTTCGATTTTGATTTGATTTACTCCCTTCATTTTTTAATAAGTGTTACAATTTGATCAAATACACATGTCGAGACACTAATTTGACCATTATTTATCTAATTATATGTTTGTATAATCATAGGAAATTTTATAATATGAAAATAAACATTATAACGAATCCAACAATGTATTATACGGTAGCATTAATTAAACGGAAATTTCACCAAATGTCCCTGAGTAATTTTTTTTATTCACCATATACCCATAAAAACTTTCAAATTCACATTACGCCCCTGAGTTTAACAAAAATGTCACCAAATACCCATAATGACTAACGGACATTAACTCCGTTAGTCATTAAGGCTAAATATGCCACGTGGCATGCTAGGATTGGTTCTATTTTAATTTTCTAATTTAATTATAATTAATAAAAAAATTAAAAACTTTTTTTAAAAAAAAACCCAAGCCACCTCCCTTCCACCATCAACCCAGCCCCCTGCCAGACCGCCGGCATCCACCCCCACCCCCTCCCCCGCGCCGGTGCCGGCGTGATCCCTCCCTCGCCGGAGATTCCATCTTATGTTTGTATAATCATAGGAAATTTTATAATATGAAAATAAACATTATAACGAATCCAACAATGTATTATACGGTAGCATTAATTAAACGGAAATTTCACCAAATGTCCCTGAGTAATTTTTTTTATTCACCATATACCCATAAAAACTTTCAAATTCACATTACGCCCCTGAGTTTAACAGAAATGTCACCAAATACCCATAATGACTAACGGACATTAACTCCGTTATTCATTAAGGCTAAATATGCCACGTGGCATGCTAAGATTGGTTCTATTTTAATTTTCTAATTTAATTATAATTAATAAAAAAATTAAAAACTTTTTTAAAAAAAAAACCCAAGCCACCTCCCTTCCACCATCAACCCAGCCCCCTGCCAGACCGCCGGCATCCACCCCCACCCCCTCCCCCGCGCCGGTGCCGGCGTGATCCCTCCCTTGCCGGAGATTCCATCTCCCCACCCACAACCCCCTCCCTCCTCTTTTCCCCATCACGACAAACACCAAAAACCCCCCAATTGGAAAACCCAGTACTCCCCTCTCTCTCGAAAATCCACCCTAACGCCGACGTCCAAGAACCCCTCCCCGCAATGGCGAACCCAAACCGCCCATCCCGTGTATAAGTTTATTACCAAAGTTGAATCTTACACTAATAGTAGTGTGAGTTTATTATATAGTCTAATAGTTTACACATTATTTTGTGTAAGTTTGTTAGTAAAGTTATTATCTTACACACTAGTTTGTGTAAGTTGGTTAGTAAGTTAGTTACTTTACACACTAGTTTGGGTGTGAATGAATAGATGAGGTAGAAAGTAAGTATCACAAAGTACAGCAAATAAAAAAAATATTAAGGAAATTTTCAGAATTTACAAGCACTTATTCGTTTTCAAGTGAGCTTTTTTCTGTTTTCGTACCTAAGTTTCGGAGACGAAACTTCTTTTAAGGGGGGTAGACTGTAATACCCCGTATTTTAATGTATTATATATTATTTATTTATTTAATAATAAAGTATATTTTGGGTCAAACTATTTTAATTATTGGAATATATAAAGAAAACAAGTTTTGGGTCAATAACTAATTAATCTAAATGTAGCCCATTTTCACTATAAGGCTAATCATTTTATTTACTTATTTATTTGGGCCAATTATTCTTCCCATCATACCATTTCTTATGAGGCCCAAATAATTATAATTTACCCTATTCTATAAATATCCCTTTGATCCCCAAATTTGCCACACAAAAGTCAAAGGGGTGAGCTTTTTTTTTTTTTTTTTTTTTTTTCTTTTCCTTCTTCCTCATTTTCTTTCTCTTGTTCTTACTTTTCTTTTCCCCTGCTTCACGTGAACTGCTCACAATGCAAGGAGAAGTTGGAAGCTTTGCTCCTCCACGTTACCCGCCACCTCACACCTGCCACGTCACCAGCCACCTCCGGCCGCCCAGCAGCCGCCGGCGACCAGTCGACCACCACCACCACGGGTCACCTCCTTCTTCCCTTTTCTCTCCTCTTGTCATTCTAGCTATTTTGATGATTTTATTTATGAGTTTTGGTTTTAATTATTCAAAGTATGTTTGATTAGTATCATAATTATGTTTTGATGATTAAAGATTGTAAATTTTAAATAATAAAGTGTTTTATTTTCAGATTTCATAAAATTATAAGTTAGGGTTTTTTAATTATTAAAGTGTTGATTTTTAGGGTTCTAACTCACAATTGATTTGGGGGTTTTATATACCCATTGATTGGAAGTGGTAATAAAGCTTAAAGATTGTATCTTTATGGAGTTTTAATGAAATTTTAATGGGTTTTTGCTAATAGAATAATGCTGGAATTTTTATTTACATACTACTTTTGTGTATTAATTAAAGGGAGTTGATTACCCATAAGTAGAGAATATTCTAAGTGGTTTTAATATAATTTTCAGATTTTTTTAAAGGGTTTAAGCCTTAAAAAGTATGCTGGAATTTTTATATGAACACTATAATTGAGTTTTCACTTTGTGGTTTTAATTACTCTCTTAAAGAGAGAGTTTTAAAGGTTTTAAATCAAAATTTCAGCTTGTTAGTGAGGTTTTAAAATGTTTAAAAGTAGCTGGAAATTTGTGTATACTAAGGTAATTAATATAGGTTTATTGTCCCTTTATGTAGGAGACTTGGTTCCAGAGGTGTTGTAGTGTAATTGACCATTTTAAGAGCTTAATTGAGGTACGTATGCGTATTTAGCATATTTTGATGATGTAGAATCATGCTAGGTTTGATTTCAATCAATTACAAGCAGTATCATGCTAAGGTTTATGTATGGAATTGTGAATTTATGGTGTTTGTGATTGAATTGTGAAGCATGAATTATTTGTGATGGTTATGGATAGGATTTTTATATTTTGGGCATGTTGTGTTTGAACCACATTTTTATTTATGGCATGTTAGTAGGCATGATTAATTAAACTACATGTTTAATTATGTTTGGAATATTGAAAAGGAATTTTATTATGGTTCAAATAATTTTTATTGATGCTTTAAGCATGAGGAAGGAGCTTTATAAGTGTCTATGTACACAAGGAATAAATTGTATGTTGGTGCCTTTGTGCACTTAAGGTGTTTTTAACACCGAGGGATAGGATTTTTGGCGCATTATGCGTTTAAGGTGTCTTTGACACTAAGGTAGAATTAAAAAGGGTTCAACATTAAATAATATGCGGTCACTAATTATTCAAGAATTAAATTGGTATGTTTGTTTGATTGAATAATTATTGTTGATTGACTTATTATGCTTTGAGAGTCATCACCAAGTCTAATAATACGTAAATAACGTAAAGTGAAAGAGATTACGCACCAAAACTCTTGGAACGTATATACCTTGAGTATGAACAATGGGGGGAGTTATGGGGTTTTATATTTAACCATAACTTCTAATGGAGTACAGGACGCTGTATATTCCTTTTTTATTTATTATTATGCGCAGGAATTCCGCCACCTTTGAGTGGTTTTGTCGCTGGCACGGTTAGCTCCCGTGTCAGTTAACCTCAAATTTATTTGGAAGAGGTTAGGAGGTGGAAACCCGTTCGATGCGTAATCAACGCTAAATGAATTAATTAGTGTCTAGTCATTGTGTCTTGTTGATTGGCGTGTGTGCTTGTGAACAGGTGCAATGAGGTAAGTGTGTGTTGATAAGTGAAAGCATGATAGTGTGTTTAATTACGCTTATGTACTCAGCTTTGCCGATTGTGTGTGTTTGTGTATTTGGCCATGTCTTTACCTTGGCCCTATGATGACCCATTTCTAATGGAGAGTAGTGGAAACAAGTAGAGATAAACTTTTCAGGTATTGAAGCATGATCATGATGGGGCATGAGAGAAGAGTGAATCTTACTAGTTTTCATTAGGTTACAAGGTGTTTTATGCTTTATTTATTTATGACATATTTTATGTGGACTAACACAAAGGTTTGGTTTTGGAACGGTTTTTGAATAAGGGCCTTTAATGGTTCCAAGTTGTAGTTTGATTTTATTTGACTTTGTTTGTTTAGTTTTAAACTTTATTTTCGTTTGGTTGACTTTTGAGTTGACTTGCTTAATCGGTTTTTAATTTTGAGTTTTCCGCTGTGTATCTTTGATAATTGCCTTAGCCGTTTTCACGGTGGTGGTAATGTCTTAGTTATTCCTAAATCGTGTTTTTAAAAGAGTAGAATGGGTATTTAAAATAAAGGAATTTCTAGGGTGTTACACCGGCCCCCTCCCTTGACCACTACACCAAAACCCCAAAATCGAAAACATTAAAATCGAAATCTAGGGTTTTGATTTGGGGATTTTGATTTTGGAGTTTAATTAAGGTGTTTGTCAGCTGGGGATGGGGTTTGGGGGCTGGCTGAGCGTCGGCTGGGCACCATCGGAAGGGGAGATGGGTTTTTTCGAGTTGTGGGTGGGGTTTTAGGGTGGGGGAAAGTGGTTTTGGGAAGGAGAAGGACGACGACGTGGAGGGGACGGGGAGGGAAGTGGCTGTAGATGTCGGTGAAGGGGTGGCAGGGACTGGGGCTAGGATTTGGTGGGTGGGCCGGTGTGGGGATTCAGGCGGAATCCGCGCCGGTGTGGTTGGGGGTTTAGGGGATTCGCGACGGCGGGGGTGGTGGCGGGGATTGCGGCTAGGCTTTGGTGGGTGGGTTTTTAATTTTTTTTTTTAAATTTTTTATAAATAATCAATTAATTATTTTTAAAATTTAAATAATTAAATAAATAATTAATAACAATTTTCCACGTGGCATAATTAGGCTTTAAATACTAACGGAGTTATTTTCCGTTAGTCTTTTGGGCATTTAGTGATATTTTTGTTAAACTCAGGGGCGTAAAGTGAATTTAAAAGTTTTGATGGGTATATGGTGAATAAAAAAATTACTCAGAGACATTTGGTGAAATTTCCGTTAATTAAAACACCAATTAAAACACGGAGAGTAGTCTAAATCTGGTCCTGATTTGGACCTACCCCACGACTCCACTAGGCTTTCTATCCAAATTTAGGGTTCTTAGTTTGGGCGGGCAAATTGAGATTTCTGTGTAAAAATATTGAAATTCAAATCTCACTTTTAAAGCTCTGAGAAACAAAAAAGCAAGCAAGAAGAAAATGGGGCAAAAGAGGGAAGAATACGAGCATCATCCAGCAGTAGACAGTCTAGTCACCCTCTTCACTAAAGCTCACCATGATCTCTCTCTTCTTCACTTCAAACTCGACAAAGAATTCCAGCAAATTTACCCAGATAATGTAAGTAATTCCCTTCTTTTCTCTCTAACTCTAAATTTGATCTTTCTTTAATTTTATTGAAATGGGCACTTCAATTTTTACTTTATTTCTTCTGGGTTTGAACTCTTTATTGAAATGGCTATAAATTTGATGAGTCAATCTTTAATTTTATTGAAATGGGTGTTTCAATTTTTACTCTATTTATTTTTCTGGGTTTGAATTATTTATTGAAATGGGTATTATTTGATGAGCCTTTCTTTAATTTTATAGAATTGGGTACTTCAATTTATACTTTGTTTGGGTATGAATGATTTGGTGAAATGGGTATAAATTTGATGAGAAATTTCGTAACTTTTTGAGTATTGATTTTTTCAGGCTAATCCTATGAAACTTGTGGGTCGGATTAAGAAAATTCAGGATGAACTTTCTTCTCTTAAAGATCAATGTCGCCAGCTTCTCACTGCTAAGCAGGTTTCCTTTTCAAATTTGAATCTTTTTTCTTTTAAACCTAATTTTGCAATTAATAGCCTTTTTCCGTAAAATTGGTTCTTTTAAACCTAATTTCGTTGAATTTGATTTGTTTTGCACATGAATAGTTTACTGTGCTTTTGATTGCGATGATTGCTTCCTGTCATCTTATGGATTGTTAATATGTTAATGATTGCTTACTGTCATTTGAATCAAAAATTAAGAATAATTGTTAGTGAAATTCAATGAATTTGTGTATGAATTTCAATTGCTCCAATTCAGATGCTTTTTCAAGTATAAGTTAGTTGTGTTCAAGTATGCCATAAATTTTCTCAAAGCCAGTTAATTTTGATTTTTTTGGTGCTTTTTTTTTGGGTACAATTTTTAGGAGTAAAAGAAGTTTGATAAAAATTAAAGCTTGCTGAGTAACTGTAATGTATGTTGATCAATTGATGGACTTTATAACTCAAGCTAGAAGTATTGATTGAGTCCAGAGTTTATACACTGCTACAGGATATAAACCACCTGGATGTTCGATATAATATGTTCATGGGGATAGATTGGCAATTCACGAACGTTTTTCTACAAATGATGACTTTTTGAAATTGCTAGTAGGTTTATGTATACATGTATTTGATGTTTTCAGTAACATATATGTTCATGTGACATTTAAGTATGTAGTTACTGAGGCTTTTTATCTTACAGGACTTAATTGATAAGGCGACTTCCATTCTTGTTGGAAACAGAAGCATGGTGCAGCGCATGCAGGCATCTGTTGGAATTCCAGTGACGGATGATTCTGAAGATGCTGCCTTTTCCAGCTTTAATCAGGTCACAATTGCTTATGCTCTATTTCCTAGAGGATAAATATATTTAATAAGCTTCTGATTTTGTGCAAAAACTGGTGAATGCATCTGGTGAACGTTAATGCTCTGCTATAAACTAAGCACTTTTGCAATGAAATGTTAATTGTGGAATTTTCTTATAGAGCAGACAGAAACATTTTCCTAATATTTTGCTTTCATTGATTACAGTGTCTGTGGTTGTGTCAATGTGTTTGTTGTTTCCAATTTTCTTCAAGAGTTTATGGTTGTCTCTTTTCCAAGTGGTGTTAAAAGAATTTACATCACTTGCCAGCAAGCAACCTAAATTAACTTTGCAAATGACGAGCTTTCGTAGTAATTGCTAGCATAAAGCATCTGCTCAGCAGTCCTGAGGGGGTTGAAATGCTTGTCCTGGCTACATTATGTTTATGTCTCTAGATACTCATAGCTTCTGTGTTTCGTATATGCATAGCTTCAACCAATAATCCTAGATGAGCTAACATATTTTCCTCTTGATTCATTACTGCAGATTATCGATGAATGGACCACTCATGTCAGATCAAAAGCAGGTATAGACCTAAGAATCTCACAACTATCAAGTACTCTATTTTTTCATCCTTATTTCCTTTGCAAAGAAGCAAGTGTTGCTAAGTATTTGCTTCCTTTCATTTTGAGATAAATGAAAAACTCAGGTTGTGGTTAATTATTTGTTTCCTCATTGATTCATATCCAGTTTGATGCTCAAGTTAATTGGGTTAGGGGAAATTTTGCAAGTATAAAAAGATTTACAATACAATGCCGAAAAGTGGAGCAAGTTTGCCATACATAAGGAACACTTGCATCCTTTTCTCCACTAACAATCAAACACTAATAGGGATTTTTCAGAACTTCATTGTTCAAAAGGAAACCCACTTCTTGGCAATGTAGCTATTTATGGGTTATCTCAGAACCAGATTTGAGAAGTTGTGGTAATTTTGCAGGAAATGGAGGCGACACTTCCATGCCAGAGGATATCAACGATTTGTTGTTTGCATCAATTGTTCGGAGCACTTAATGTTGTATATTGATCTGGTGAGAGCAAACGGATCCAGATTAATGACAAAAGTGATCATTTGTACAAATTACAGGCAATTGTTTTCTGCCCATTGAATAGCTGTCTTGTGTATTTACTTCATGAGTTTATTAGCTTAAACTGGATCCGTTGGTTTTGGACCTCTTAGGTAAGTTGGTGAGGATTTATGTAGCAAGTGGGTGAGGCAAATAATTAGTATTGCCTAGGTAAATTTTATGAACAGGCTGAGTACGTTGTTGCCCATTTATGTGAATAGCTGTATCTTTTGCTCTACTGATCTGTGCACCACAGATTCTGCATTAATTGTTACTCGTATCAATCTTACAGTCTTACCCATTTGGACTTTCATGTTCTTTCAAGTGTTATTTCAATGTCCATGCTTCCCACCTCCCAAGACTTCCATTCTGTAGCTCCAGCACTTTGAAGTTTTTAAATTTATCATTCATATGATTATGTTAGACTACCAAGACTAACATAACCATATTAATTACACGGTATGGGTTGAGCTGCTACTAGATGCTGAAATCTCCTAAATTTTCGATTTTGTGTATTATAGATCATGCACCGAGGTGATTCCCAGGGCTCTCAAAGGGTGAAACTTTTGAAATGCATTCGTTTGTCTTAGCTTGCCTTTGCACTCCATTGTCTTAGGCCTTGTCTTGCCTTGCTTTGGCCATAAGGCAAGCCAATACGCTATCCTCAATTGTCAAATTCGGAAGTTTTTAAAGGACGAAATGCAGTCCTTATGCCCATACCCCATGTTAGGACATAGGCGTGCCTTGGCTGGGAAGTAGCACAAGGATTTGGGCAAGTTCAGCAACGATGTCCCACACTATTGTGCCTTGACTCTCCCTTAGAATTTTTTAGCACCAAAGGCATAACACCAACCTTGTTTAGCAATATATAGGTGTTTGTAGGAAATACTCCCTTCGTTTTTTTTAATGCATCACTTTGATTTTTGTACTATTCACATACCATGGTTGACTTGATTTTTAACCTCTATAAAATAAATAAATGTTATTATATAATATATCATTAGATTCGTCATACTGTCTAGTTTTATAATATAATTTGTTATAATTTTTACTAATTAACTATTAAAGATATTAATGGTCAAAGTTGTGTCTTGCCAAATGTGCTGGTCAAAGTGATGCAAATAATAATAATAATAAAAAAACATAGGGAGTATGATTGAGGATTTGAGAAAGGACGAATTAAAGCAATTTAGGGCTGATTTTTAATAGATAATGACAGCAATTTAATGTTGATACAACTTCAAAACATTGTTTTTTTGAAGGCAACAACTTCAAAACTTAATTAATCCTTGAATAAGATTAAAAAAAAAAAACAAAAAATAACTATGAATGCTTAGCAGCCGCAAGCCCGCAAGTGTGGTAACTTTTCTAGCACTATGATGCTGTTACTGATTCAAAACTTAATTTAATTTTCAACATGGTCTTTTCCCAATAGTTAATTAAAATTACCAATTACTTTAGAGAATCAATTAGCCACTCATGACATGATGACAGTCATTAGATGTATGTTCAAGTTGCGTTATATTCATGAGATGTATAGTATAGGTAATCTATCTTGCTTGATTATGCTGGTTTAAAGTGGCAACTTTCATAATCTGTCATTCTAGCATAAATTTGTCCGCAAGTTACGATCAATGATCAAAGGCTTTTGTTCGCAGTCTTCGCACCGCATCCAGCCAATAGCAAAATTAAAACACTTTACTGCTTGCCAATTTAGAATACTGATTTTTTCTAGCCACAGACTGAATTTCCACTTCAGATACATGGAGGCATAAATGTGGCAATGTAACAAGTAGAGCAGATATCAGGGTCTAGTATTAGTTTGTCAGAATTCGGTTAATCTGTTTGGATTCTCTGAATACAGAGAACTTATGTTTATTCAACAAGGAAAAAAACACAGGTGAGAAAACATATGGTATAAATAGGCAGACAGCCTACTATAGATTCATCAAGCCGTATTAGTACACTATTCTCCATCTCGGAATTCAAATTTGGTAGCAGTAAGGTCAGTAACTTGTGATCGACAGCACATGTGAATTTTCTCTGTAGTCCATTTGAAGCTTGCATCTTATACTGAAGCTACAATGTATGTTGCAACCACATGAAAGTGAAATATGTAACAGCCTAGGATAACACAAAATATCTACAATTATAGCTTTACACCAAATCTCCCCCCCCCCCCCCCTCTCCCCAAAAAAAACCTGAGCCTTGAAGCTGAAAAAAAAATGCTGGCAATTAATCATTCGAAGATTACTTGCAGCTCACCATATTACGTATGGTATGCTGTCGCTTGATCCAATGGTTGTTTTGAGTCAACTGAAGTCCGTATTTCATCATGCCAATGTCGCTCTTTTGCCTTTTGCGTCCCTAGACTGCAGACAGTTTATAAATTATGTAAGTCTTCAATTCACTCAACATGATAAAGTCACAGAAATTAAAGCTCAAATAGTTGTCTCCAACATCAAAGCAAAAGAGTTATACATATTAAGTTATTATTCAAGTATGGTATGTTGAAGGATAAAAAAAAAAATCAGAAAAAACATTAGTAAGTTATTGTGGGGAGGAGAGAGACAGAGGGAACGAAAGATTAAAAAAATGAAATGGGGGACTATTAGTGGAGAGGAAAGTATTAAAGTATTGCTACAACTTTCCAAAAATAGGAATGGAGCACTTATTTAAAAAAAACGGCTGAAAATAGAAAATGAAGCACTGATTAAAAAAAAGGAGGGAGTAGCAACAAATTCCCCTTAAGGCATAATCTACCCCAAATATGGATCTTCAGATTTTCTAAGCAGTTAAATTTTGCCTAGAATGATTACATAGATGTACAAGGCTTTGGCCTAAGAAGTCTTGAGTGATGATCCATTGAGCCTCAACTCTTAGTAATGTGGCTTTTGACTTTCAGCTCTTCCCTAGTTTACTATGAAGGAAATTCAATTTTTTAGAAGAGAATGAATCCACATATTTTATCTTTGGGCATCACGCAGGCCACTTCACATCTTTGTGAGGAGGAAATTGCCCTGATGTATTCAGTGCATATTATTCTCAGTAATCAATGGTTTGAAATATGAAGCATATTTTAAAACAAACCTGTGCACCAACAGATCTTTTAGCGTCCAAGAATTGGTTATAAATGGCATAAAGTCTCTCTTTCTCAGACTCTGACACTGATGGTTTAGCCTTGGAAGCAATAGACTTTAGCAGCTCATCCGTAATTATAGGTGCTTCTCCTGACTTGCCATCATATCCACTGTCAAGAAGCTCCTGAACCGCAGCTAATTGGGCATCTGACAGAAGGGCTTGAAGATCCGCACCGCTAAATCCTTCAGTCATATATGCTATTGCGTTGAAATCAACATTATCTGCCAAAGCTAGCTGAGCAAAGAAAATGTCAGGTAAATAATTTTGAAAATACTACAGTACATATATTCACATTAATAAGAGCTGTATCCCCACAAGTTAACAAACTCTTATCAATAAGGTGTGATTTGTGATATCATCTTCTTCAGCTCAAAGGTGATGCTGAAAACCACACCATATAGCTACCAAAGTATCCTAAGAATAATTACTTGTAACACCAATTGCATAGAAATTTCACAAAGAAAAGATGCATTTCTGAGGAAAAATGTACCACTACCACCCAGTAGTGATTCTGCAGGGTTAATGTTAGGAAAATCCACATTGACAAACTTGGTAGGAAACAAACTTTTACTAAAAAGCTAACAGAGGCCAAGGAAAGCAGCCATGTAATTTTCATTTTTTTTTTTTTTTGGGGGGGGGGGGGGGGGGGCGCAAGGAAGGAATGTAGACATAATTGGCAAAGTAAAACTTGCACCTGATTGGGTCATGATAACTCTCAAAATGAACTGAAAGAGACCTTAAGCTAAATAGTACTTTGTATATGTTACACATTGCAATATTCACAAATCACAATTGTATTCCCTAACTGCAATTTAGACATAGTAGGAATAAGCATGCTCTTAGTTAGTTGTGCTCCTTTCCAGGTGCTCAATCACCCATTGCCCAGTTGTCTCCTTATATAATAACAGGTGGAAACCATCTAATTCTTAACCAACCAAAAAGAAGGAATATGCTAATGTATGAGGGAAGTTGTATGCTCAAGCGCAGAGTTCTTAAGTCAGACATCCCAAATGCATACCAACTAATCTGAATGATAAAGGTGAGCATATCCCATTCAAAATAGCTGTATTTGACACGGTTGGGAAACTGAACATATGGAAACATTGTCTTCTCCTCTTGCTCCCTTGGGTTCCTTCTCTTCATTTGATTTATTCACCAAATTATTAATGCAAAGGAAGGACAGAAGGAAACAGCTCTCAGAAGGGTCGATCCACAACACCATGCATCTCAAGATTATTAAGAATTATGCTTCTGGAAATCAATGGCGACTATGACAACATACCAGTTTACCACCGCCACTTCCCATTGAGTTCATGCTGTTAACCCAGAAGTTCTTAAAAGGATAGCTTCTATAACACACCACATTAATCACACGCCCACATCAAAGCAATATACTAGAAAGAAAATATCCTTGGTTTCTTTAATGCTTGCAACATTGTTGTTCTCTCAAGAAACTATTAAAACACCAATATAATAACTAACAAGACTACTTCAGACAAGTCATTGCTTCTAAATTGTGAGGTTGTGGACTACATTTTCATTTTACATACTTCCACTTTATTTGAAAATGAATTTTTACCACCCAAGGCAAAATCTAATAGAAATAGAAGCTGGATCACTAGGATCGGTAATCATTCAATTAGGTCATGCCGTAATGCTGGATGTGATCAAATTTCAACCAGAGGAAATCTGATTGCAATATTTAACTGATGCAGACACAGGTTAGGGGTGAACTAAAAGGGGATTAAAAAAAAGCATAGGCACAGAAATGATGCAAAAAAATAGCAGCTAGCAATGATAAGCTTAGTGTCCTTCATTTCAATAGATTGTTTAGGCATAGAGGAGATAAGTGCCCTGGGGTTAGTTGCTTCTCAAGATTTCAAATCCCAAAATGTTTGTTTATTCAATAAATAGACTGTAAATACTCTAGTTACTCTTAGGAGGCTTAAAACAGCCAACTTAGATAGTTTATGTTCCCTGGGGTTAGTTGCTTCTCAGGGTTTTAAGTGCACTAATCTTAAGTTTTTACAGGGATTATAAAATGGCTTCAGGTCATGCATGATATTCATTCCCCTTAGCAGTAAGTTACATGATTAGAAATGGCAAAGAAAAGTACACAATCATTAAAGGTATAGGTTCAGAATTAAGTAATGGACAATTGGATAACGGGTTACAA